CACCCTTTTTCTGTGGAGATTCTTCAGCGAAACTTTGACTCTTCGGGAGTCCGGTGAATCGAGGGTAGTGTTCCCGATAGCGGTGATCTTAAATGGGTCCAACCGCCCTGTAGCTCCGATTTGTTTGGGAATCTCTTCATCCATTAATGAGACTGTTGACCCATCATCCAGCAGGGCGTGTGTGTTTACAGCTCCCGCCGATCCAATTACTGGAATTATTTTTAGGTAGGCTTGATGCTTTGACACAGCGAATGAGTTAGCTACGGTTTCTTGAGGTTCTTTTTGTGTGACCTCTGTCTTCTCCTTTTTATTATGGTGGAGAAGTCGATTATGTGTCGCGGTGCATCCTTTTATGCCACACTTAGTGATTTTGCATTTGTGTGTTTGATTTCTGTAGCGTAAACAGCGGAAACATAAATTACTTTGTTTTGCCATTTCCCATTTTTTATCGATATCTGCTTCTTTAAATTTATTACAGTCGGATCCGTAATGACCTTCTTTTTCGCACACTCTGCATTTCGGAGACGGCTTCACTAAGCCACGCGGCTACCACTGTAGCTGAGTGTTGTCTGTGTACTGAACGATTGCTCTGCGCTCCGTTTATAATTTCAGGAGGCGCAGATGCACTGCAGAAGCGAGCTTGTTCGGTGATAAACTCGCTGAAGGAACCGAGGTCTAGTCTAGAGTCGTATTTTTCGGTGTAGATTCTATACCACTGTCCACGTATAGAGTTTGCCAATTTGTCGGTGAGGTGTCGTAGCAGCTCTGCGTTGACGACGTAATTGTCTCGTTTGAGTGCTCGAAGAGTGACGACGCTTCCCCTCACTTTGCTCGCGAATGTGCAGATGTCTCTAGGTGCTTCTGTACAGTGTGGTAATCCTCGTAATTTCTCGGTTTCGGCTTGTGCAATTGAATCTCGACGCCCAAATTGTAGCTCCAGTTCTCGCATAATCTCATCTGGCTTAGCATGCCCGATGAGTTCTGAGCTGACTGTTTCCAAGGCTCTTCCTTGTACACTTCTTCGTAGTCTTGCAGTATTTTCGATATCATTGAAGTAGCCTCGGGTTGTTTTGTAAATGGCACGGAAAGAAAGCCATTCGGTATGTGCTCCGCTAAAGCTTGGCAGTGTCATTATATAGCGTAAAATAGCAGCTTAACACTGCTATGTTTCGTATAGTGCGTGTAAAGAACTGGAGACCCTCTTTACTGGAAAAGAGGCTACTGGAGAAGGTGAGATCATAACATTCACCTAGGTCTTTATGAGTCCATTCAAATTAGTTTAAACACGATCCTTCTATCTAGTGTCCAACCAATTTCACTGCTACCAATCATTGCTAAAGTATTCGAATCACTTCTTTGTCCTGTTTTATCCTGGCATATTAAACATTTTAAGATATTAGTCAGTCAGTAGACAAGAACAATCAAGTTTTCACTATTTACACCGACTTCAGCAAGGCTTTTGACAGAGTGGACCATAGTATTCTGCTGTCAAAACTGGCAGAGTATGGCTTTGGGGATGGATTGCTTAAGTGGTTTTCTTCTTATTTATCAGGTCGAGTAGCAAGTGTAGTCCTGGAAGGTTTTACTTCTGATCCACTGCCAATTCTTTCAGGCGTACCCCAAGGTTCTCATCGTGGCCTTACCCTATTTAACATCTTTATAAATGCTATAGTCTCGGTTTTAAAATACTCAAAGGTCTATCTTTTTGCAGATGACTTAAAAATTTGTAGAGAAATCAACTCAGCCACTGATTTTGTGCTTCTTCAAGAGGATGTTGATAATCTAGCAATCTGGGTCGATCAAAACCGAATGGAACTAAATGTTGATAAATGTAATTTTATTAGATTCTCACGACATAGGTTGCAAGCATCACCTTCGTACCACATTAATGGAAAACAACTTAAAGAGGTAGATTCTATTCGGGACCTAGGCGTTATTTTGGATAAAAACTTCGATTTCACAAACACATTGAGGACATAACATCTAGGGCCTTCAAAATGCTAGGGTTCGTAATTCGTAACTGTAAGGAACTAAATCTAGCCACTAAAATTTTATTATATAACGCATACGTTCGTTCGATTTTGGAGTATTGCAGCCCGGTTTGGTCACCACACTACGAAGTATATGTTAAGCGACTAGAACGTGTGCAGAAAAGATTTTTATGGCATGTCTCATTTCAATCCGGTCTAGCAGTTGCCTTCGTACGTTGATAGACTTTCAAAATTCAAAATGAAAAGCTTAAAAAATAGGAGGCTTATATTAGATCATTTGTTTTTATATAAAATTGTAAGAGGTGGTCTGGATTGCCCTGGACTGTTGGAACAGCTTCGGCTTAATATACCCTATAAAATCTCGCAAAAAGGGAAATACACACCATGTTCTACCAAGGGATCCAAAAGCAATCTCGGCCATCACGCGATCATGAACAGGCTGCAACGACAATATTTTCAAATAGCCTCTCTAAATTCAAAAAGTTACTTCTAGGTGCAAGTTTGAGTACGGAATAATTTTGGATTACTTTATATATTTTATTACTTTTTAAATAAACATTAAAAACTCACATTTGCAAGTCGTGGCAGCCTGTAATTTAATCTAAGCGTAAATTTTAGATGATAGCTTAAGAATTTAATGTTTTTGGTGTAAGATTTGTCGGATGACCTTAATAAATAAATAAATAAAATAAATAGAGCCGTCACTGAGATCCTACACCCACCTTCGGATTGCACCATCAAAAAGGTTAGGTCATAACAGTCACCTAGGTCTTTATGAGCCGATTCAAATGAGTTCAAACACGATCGTTCTATCTAGTGCCGTCACTGAGATCCTACCTATACCCACCTTCGGATTGCACCATCATAAAGGTGATATCATCACAGTCGTCTAGGTCTCCATTTACCTGTTTGAAAATGAGTCCAAACACAATGGTTCTACGTAGTAGCATCACTGAGATCCTTTACCCACCTTCTGAGTCCACCATAAGGAAGGTGACATCATTACAATCACCTTGGTCTCCATCCTCCGTCAAACCAACTAATTTAAATATATAAAATAATATTATAAAATCTAAACAGCATACAAATAATGTTTAAGTAGCTACTAAGAAAGTATGTACTTTCCAATAATTGAAACGATCTGAAGCCAGCGGATTACGGATCGCCCGGAAAATACGCGGGGTTGCCGTCAGTTAAAAAATTAACTCGTCAGTTAAAACTTAAGATTTCACACTCACGATCAGTTTTGGTTGTACGTCAGTTCAACTGAGCAGTTTAACTGACAGTGCGCACGAAACAATCCGTGGGTTGTCGTCAGTTAAAAATTTCAACTTAAGATTTCACACTCACGATCAGTTTTTGGATGTACGTCAGTTAAACTGATCAGCTTAACTGGCCGTGTGTGGGGACCATTAAAAATAGCTGTTCTAATACGTAAGTACATATTACTTCAATGGAAAAAACCATAGCGATTCTGAGGCGTGCTTGCACATCTGCTAACAATATCAAATGAAATTGTGAATGTGAACCATTGATTTATATGTTGTGAACACGATTGATTCGTGAGTAGAACAGTAGAGTACGGTAAATCTCGCCTTCTTCAACAAATTGAATCAACAGATTGAATACGAAACTTTTTCGCACCATGCTACAACGCAACGACTATAGTCTGTGGACATCTCAACTTTAGTACAAAATTATTTTGTATACTTAGTTCATTCTCCGTAATAAATAAAACCAAATAAAACAAAAAACCTGTGAAAAAGGACGATAATGTCATAGATAAATAAATATGTAGCAAGCTGGATAATGTACCATAAATTATTATTTTAAATTTTTATGTCTTTTTAGTAAAGTACCTATTAAGTAACACTATTAAACCTCCACAGTAGCGTTGCCAACATGTAGGGAATTCCCCAAATTGTGGGGAATTTCAAGTTGCTTGGGGATTTTTCGGGAATTGGTGGAAAATGCGGAGATTTTGATTATCGATAGCCCTGGCCAAGTCAGAACCTTTTTTCAAGAAATCTAAATACTTATCTTAACATTTTTGTTAGGTTACTTATGAATATCGAATTAGGTACTCCCTTTTTTAATTATCTTCATTGCACCACATTTAATTTTCAGATTAATTTCAGCAACTTTTGTGTATAATTTAACGCTTTTCATTTTTTTAATTTTTAATTTTAAAGCAGCGAACCGCATGCATATAAATGCAGATATTGTGGTATCGTTTCATTCCTGTGCCATTAAATAGTACATTTAAGGATGATTCACGCTACAACGTGGCGCGGCGGGGCGTGCCCCGGGCGGGGCACGGTCAAACATTATGGTGTACTTTTTGTATGAAGCGATTCATGCCTGACCGTGGCCCGGCCGTGCCCCGGCCGTACGCCGCAGGGACTCGGCCGGGGCACGGCGTTGAAATGTCGGTGGGTATTGTTTCCCGGCTCCGGCACGGTCCGGCCCCGACACGTTGTAACATGAATATATGCGCCCGGGCGCCCGGAGAGCAGTCAACGTCAAATCTTAGTGAAGTGAGCAGCTCAACAGCAAAATGGACGATGAAAAATTATTAGAATGTGTGCGCTAGTACCCTGTGATTTACGATATGAGCCATCCTAAGTATTTAGATAACAAATACAAAAATATTATTTGGAAAACCATTTCGGACGAAATAAAACAATCTGGTAAGTTGTAACTTTTATTTCAATTTACATTTATAATAGTTATTCAAGTGTCACTAATTACTTTACGACAACATGTAAGTACATGTGAGTGGGATTATCGGTTTTTAGTAGGTATTTTAGAATATGTTAGGTAAATTATAAGAAGTATATTATAGTGTAAGTATGTATTTATTCTTGATACTGTTGTCCTATAAAATTACGTCCCGCTGTTGACGCTAAATATTCTTTAAACGTTTCTCTTACCGCAAATGCATCATTAGCCGGTCTTCCTGGTTGAACGCTCAATGGATTTAATAAATGTGGTTGCGCATTTTGTGCACTATGATTGATAAGCCCTGTGTAATCTTTTTGTTCGCATAAAAAAATTATGCAGTACGCATGTAGATAGAATAATGTAATCAACATTTTCTGGAGCAAGTTTCATTCTTCTTTGAAATATTCTAAATCTTTGTGTCAAAATACAAAAGGCATTTTCGACTAGTCGCCGGGCCAAAGACAGTCTATGATTGAAATTCGTTTTATTAGCGTCACCTGTTGCTTGGTGTCCTGGATACGGTCGCATTAGGTATGTTTTCAAAGGAAACGCTTCATCACCAACTATTACATATGGTGCAAACGTAGAGGAACCGGGTAAATTTTTACCAATAGGTACATGAAGCGTCCCATTTTCTAAACGTTTTCCAAGATTACATTGTGCAAAAATGCCACCATCACTGTTTCGTCCGTAAGCGCCAACATCAACTGCAATAAATTTGTAGCATGCGTCCACTAACGCCAATAAAACAATTGAGAATGTGTGTTTATAATTAAAATATATAGAACCACTATTGGCTGGGGCTTCAATAACAAAATGTTTTCCATCCAATGCGCCTATACAATTTGGAAAACCTCTAAGCTTTTCAAAATCTTCGGCAATTTTACGCCACATTTCTTCTGTTGGTTCTGGTATAACGTCTTTCTTAAATCTTTTAACGATAGATCGACATGTGCTATGTACAATTTCGGTCACAGTTGAATGCCCCAATCGAAAACTGTACGAAATAGTTTTAAACGAATCCCCAGTAGCCAGGAACCTGAAAAAATAATAATGGTATAATTTCGCGGTATCTGTGTACTACAGTGAGCTATTACGTATTAAGAGTACCATTTATACAGGTTGTAAAGAAAATTACTTAACTTGTTCATTCTATACTATCTTTTTGCAGATGATGTATGTAAAAAAAGGTGGGCAAACATACGGGACCAGTTCAAAAAACATAGAAACAAACGTAAAACCAAGAGTGGACAGGGTGCTGTGGCAATAAAAAAATATAAATATGAAGAGAGCTTGAATTTTTTACTGCCTCATATACAGGATCGAAATACAATAACAAGTATCGAGTCTGAGAACGAAGAGACGCAAAACGAAACGGTTACTTCGCCAGTTACTACGCCCAACGAAACAATTAACACCGATGAACAGCAGCAGCAGGAAGATCGCTCACCAGCTATTAGTGAACCAAATTTTACGCCACCTGCTGATCCGAATCCATATCCCCCGTCAACTGCACAATTCACTCGTTCCGGCAACCGCAATCGCAATGCAACCGTTGCAACTGCACACAATCGCCGTCGTATAGTGCCACAATCCCAGTCCTCTGCGTCAAGCGCATTAATGGAATACATTCTAAAACATAAAGAAAAGTCCAACACACAAGACATTCATCCTATTGATGCTTTCTTCAACGGTTTGGCAGCCACCATAAAATCTTTTTCCCCTTACTATCAGCATCTTGCAAAAGGAAGAATATTTGCAGTAGTACAAGATTTGGAGTGGGAGCAATTGTCATCAGAGCCTTCTTCTTACACATCTCCAATGAGTGGAACAACGTCAGCGTCGTCTACTAATTCAAGGTCGGTGTATGCACCGGTTCCGATGACTACACCAACGCCAACACCGGAATCAACGCCTACGGAACCTACGCCTTCGGAACCTTCGCCTTCGGAACTTACACCTTTGGAATCTAATAATTTGTCTACTTTATTTTCAGAGTTCACGGCAGACTAATGAAATGAATAAATACTATGCGAATTATTTAAATTTTTACTTTTTTCATTCACAATGCAATTTTGATTATTGAAAAATTGAAAATGAAGTATTTAGAAAAAATCGACCCATCTTACAACCAGCTCTGATAGATGGTTGTGAGACGGGTCAATTTGTAATACTACATTTTTAAATACTATGTGATTTAGTGCATAACAATTTATTATTTACCTGATGCAGACTGCTAATCGTTCGATGGGAGATATAGGCTTTTGAAATCTTGTAATTTTTTTGGTTAGGTCTGGTTTTACTTTTTCAAGTAAAAAAGTAAAGCATTCTTTAGACATTCTAAAATAACCATAAAACTTGCTCTCATCATCTATTAATTCTTTGTAAAGTAAAGCAAATTCTCCTTCTGCTTCTCGCTTTCTCCAGGTTGGATGTACACCCCATCTTCTTTTAGTAGTTTCGCTTCGTTTTTCCAATACTTCATCATCGATGGCAATTGCAATAGCTGCCAATTCAAATTGTGAAAATTGCATATTTATGTAAGCGTGAAGTCTATCGACAGATGAAATCACTAGCTGACAAAAACCACATAACACAGAGTCGCGCATAAGCCACGGTCGTGCAAACAGCCCGGTGTAACATGAATGACTGGCCCGGCCAGCGCACGGTGGACGTGTCCCGGCCGGGCACGGCCCGGTGGCGACACGTTGTAGCGTGAATCATCCTTAAATGGCATAGGGATGAAACGATACCACTGGTGTATCGATACTTTTAATCGATACAGTATCGGTCTTAGAGTATCGATAGTTACTCATTATCGTTTGAAACGTATCGATACTTACATATATCGATCGATTTTTATTTGTAAAATTTGGAATAAACAAAATTAGAACAGTAAATAGTATTGATATTCCTTATTGATACGTTATCAGGTGCAATATAATCAGAGTTGCTTTTTAAATGCTTATGCAAAATTAGACGTATTGCCACAAAAGCGCACGGTTTTAAAGCATTTTTTGCAACTTGCGTTTTTGTCATCGTTTTTTGTGAAATATTGCCAAACACAAAACAAACAACAACGACAGTCAAAGTTTAGGATTACAAACACAGAATGAAAACAAAGACGACACAAACATTATGCATGTATGGCGAATGAATGGCAGACAGTTTTTTTCTCTCGGGCATAGACTAACAAACTTGCCGACTACACAAAACTAACAAAACTAGAACGCGTTCAAAATTTTCAAAAAATGATACACAATAAATATTTTTTTGCTAGTATAGACAGGCCTCCGTCACTCGCTCAAGACCCTGCGTTATATACCCACCGTTTTGCGTATCGCCTACGATACAACCGACATTGGGCTGCCGCATGCCCGCATGAGCGCTTGCACCGCACACGTTTCCCGCGCTTACTCGTCAAAATGCCGAAACCACGTAATTATTGTGCAGTGGATGGGTGTCAGAGTCAAAAAACAAATGAAAAATTGTCTTTTTTTCTTAACTATAAGATTACATCGAAACAAAGCATAACAGTGCTTTAATTTATAAATTGAATGACAACCATTTTCAACGATAAAATTTAATAACCGAGAATTTAATTTGAAGGAAAAAAATGTAAAAATCATTTTATAAAACTCAAACATATTTTATTGACAAATAAAAAATATGGTAATTTCGCAAGATTCGTTTTATTACAATAATCATCATAGGTACAACCCTAGAGCATTCGTGCGATGACGCGATTGCACGTGAGTCGCACGTCAGTCAACACAATCTCGACTCTTTATGCGCGGATCTATGGTACATTTTCCTCTCGCTGCGAACAGTAGATATTATTATTAAGATTTTGTAGGCTATTATAACGTAGGTATTTTCGCTTTTGTATGGGAGTGATGTATCTGTTTAGTAAACTATTAACTAATCTGTTGTATAGATGAGTGTATTATCTATTAATGTGTTAAAATAAAAGTGTAACTCGTATCGTTTCATCCCTATAATAGCACAAGGGAAGGAATTAAAAATACTCCATGGTGTAAAATGCTTGTTACAAAAATATGAAAAGTGTACATACAATTTCGTTAAAAAAGAAAAAAATGTTAGTTAAAAAATAAATCTTATAAAATTAATTGAATATTCCTTCATTTCTTAAAATCGCTCTAAGCGTCTCCGACACCTTTAAGACCCCACTTTCTCTACGATCTGGGTATTGATAGACACAGGAATGGATAAAATTATTTATTCTTGTGTCTACCGATCGCACAGCGGCGACCAGGAAACAACTAGGCTGTTTGAACACCTCAGTGAAGCCTCTGATGTGGCTCTAAATCGGTACTCTAATGCACAGTTGGTTTTTCTGGGGGACTTTAATGCCTGTAATCAGGACTGGCTGTTCCCATACCAGAAGACCGACCACGCTGGGAGAGAGGCGTAGTATTTTGCCTTGTCGCTGGGGCTCTCCCAGCTGGTACAACAGGCGACTAGGGTATTTGATGTGGATGGGCACACAAATGTGGCGATAGAAGTCAGCAGATTTTTTTATATTATATTTTTTTATATATTTTTATTTTTATTTTATATTAGATTGGGATGAAATGCGGCATTTCTTTGCATCTTATCCTTGGCGGCATGTCTGCTTCTCCTCTGGAGACGTATCGAGCTGTGCGGATGCCATAACCAATGTGATACGTCAAGCGATGGAGTATTTCATCCCCTTTGCTGACGTGCCCATTGGTGGTAAAGCTCGCCCTTGATTTAACGCCGAGTGCGCTCGTGCTGAAAAGCAAAAGCATATGGCGTACTTATCCTGGGTCGATGCTCGAGACCGTAAAGCTCCGGATGTTAGCCTTAGGAAGAGATCCTTTAACCAAGCCGCCAAGTCGTGCAAAAAGGCATTACGCCAAGCCAGTTTCGACCGCACTAAACGCATCGGCACAAAGCTCTCTGTCAAACCATCTGGCAGTAGAGCTTTTTGGTCTCTCGCCAAAGCGGTTGAGACAAACTTCTGTCGGTCTACACTGCCTACGCGGGTAAAACCAGATGGCTCACTGGCGCATGTGCCTAAGGAGAAAGCGGACTTATTTGCTTCTCTTTTTGCTTGCAATTTGCATCCGGATAGTAGAAACAGCGTACCATCTCAATTACCTCACTGCGGTACCTCTATGTCTGAGTTTCGTATCACCAACAAGGAGGTTCTTAAAACCTTGCGAAGTCTAGACGTGAACAAAGCTAGTGGACCTGATGGTATAACGGCTATAGTTCTAAAGGTCTGTGCACCTGAGTTGTCTCCTGTGTTGACACGCTTCTTCCGCCTCTCATTCAGGACTGGAATAGTGCCTAAATCTTGGAAGCTGGCCAATGTGCAGCCTGTGCCTAAAAAGGTAGCCGTACCGACCCTGCCAACTATCGGCCAATTTCAATTACCTCCATACTCTGCAAGATTATGGAGCGTATATTGAACGCCCACCTCATGGCATACCTAGAGCAAAATGATCTCCTCAGTGATCGCCAGTACGGGTTTAGCCGAAATCTATCAACTGGGGACCTTCTAGCGTATGCCACTCATATATGGGGCGAAGCCCTCGAGAACAGTGGTGAAGCACTTACTGTTTCCCTCGATGTTTCGAAGGCTTTTGACAGGGTTTGGCACGCTAGTCTATTGGGCAAGCTTTCAGCGTACGGCTTATCCCCCGGCCTAATTGTCTGGGTGAAGGACTTTCTGAGTGAACGGTCTCTCCGGGTCGTCGTTGATGGCTGCTCATCCAATACTGTGGCGACTAACGCCGGTGTTCCTCAGGGGTCCGTTCTCTCCGCAACTCTCACTCTCTTCCTGCTGCATGTATGTAATATGCTGCATATAAATGATCTGCTCATTCCCGGTGTCTATGGGTATGCAGACGACAGCACAGTTGTGGAGAGATACCAACCAAGCGCCCGGGCCAGTCGGGATCAAATCCAGTCAGAAAGAGAGGCTATGGTTGAGCGTATGAGTCTCACACTACAGGCAGTCTCCGAATGGGGCGATGCCAATCTCGTGAGATTTTACGCCTCCAAAACACAAGCGTGTCTTTTTACCGCTAAAAGGAGCCCGCTCACCTTGGCTCCTACTTTCCGGAATGTATCGTTGGAGTACACTGACCGCCTTCAGTTGTTAGTGATTGAATTTTCTCCGAACCTAAACTATGGGCGGTCCATTGAGTCCAGAGCCAAAGCAGCCGCAAGGAAACTTGGTGTCCATGCAAGGGTGCGGCGGTACTTCACGCCGGGATAGCTTCTTACCTTATATAAAGCTCAAGTCCGGTCGTGCATGGAGTATTGCTGTAACATATGGACTGGTGCTGCAAAATGCCACCTGGCGGCATTGGACTCAGTGGAGAGACGTGCTAAGAGGCTCATTAGTGATCTTGATTTGGTTGAAACCAATCTTGTCAGTTTCAAGCACAAGCGCAAAGTAGCCAGTCTCTCGGTATTCTATAGGATGCATTTCAGTGAGTGTGCGCAGGAATTACACGCCTTAATTCCTCCCTCTCCTTTCCACCATCGGACAACCAGACGGTCGGCGGGTCTTCATCCCTTTGTTGTCGATATTCCACGCATTAGAACCAAACGGTTTACTTCGTCTTTTGTAATGCGTATTTTTTTTATAGGATAAGGGTGACAAACGAGCACACAGTCCACCTGATGGTAAGTGGTTGCTGCGGCCCATAGACATCTACATCTATCCTCTATTACAAATCAAAATGTAGATGCGTTGTAACCCGCGAGGACTAAGATGGGATGCCTCATTTCCAGTAAAAAGGGCCTCCGGCCACCTGCACTCACCAAGCGAAACGCAGAGGGAAACCTCTACTTCACGCTGGTTTTCTGTGAGGTTCGAGCCGGCCCATCCGTGCGACAGCTAAAGCTGCCGCGTGGCTTTACCACTGTTAAAACAAAGCAGTACACCTTTGCTGTACGCAAGTAAGTGGAATAATTTACAGGCGTCTATCTTCCCGTCCGAATACAATCTAGGCGTCTTCAAGGTAAGAGTGAATAGGCTTTTGTTACGATAAGACAGTGCGATTTACCATCTAAGGCTGCATCACCACTTACCACCAGGTGGGATTGTGGTCAAGCACTGGCTTATAAGAAGTAAAAAAACAATGAAGAGGAATTTGTGGGGAATCTGTTGAAGTTTTGTCCTTAAATTGGGGAATTTTACATGGATTTTTGGGGAATTTGTCACATTGATGTTGGCAACGCTGCTCCACACTCCATATTCATAGTACTAATTAGGGATGTAACTGAAGTGGTTATATCGGTACCGAAATCGGAAACGGAGTTTTTAAATTTTTGTCGGAATCGGAACCGGAATCGGAAGTGGAGGCAGAAGAGATGTGTTAAGGGCAGGTCTATTGAACAGTACTTTTCTTTTCAGTTTCAAATTTTTTGAATTCTTCGAGTTCAGTGGCATGCACAGACTTTAAATGACTTTTTAACGAAGTAGTCGTATCTCCCTTTCGTGAATATATCTTCTCACATAGTTCACACTTTGGTATATTCCCAGAAACTTCATTGAAATAATTCCAAATGGCACTTGATTTTGGCTTCATTTTGCAATTCAAATAAATTTCTTACACGTCAAATAAAACACTACTAAAACTAATAAAAAACTGGGATAAGTATAAATGAAGCGCGAAATAACAACATGCCAATTGCCAAATAGGGATGGCGATCTGAGATCGATTAACCGAAGAATTCATTTTTCAGGTCCAAAAGATCGATTTTTTAAATTGATAAGCAGTAATGAATCGATACAGTGAATCAATATTTCACTCTTGAAAATCACCATTCGATTTTTTTTTGTTTTGGTAAAAACCATAAAATTATTTACAATTAGTTTAATGTATCTGTAATATTACGGTGTTGCCTGTTAAAGGGTTAATTATAACACTATTTTTATCGTTGGCTGTTGTGCACCTGAAGTATGATCCTATACTGTGCTGGCAAGAACATAAATACTATTTATCACGATTTTCACTCATTAGCCATGAGCTAGCTCTCCGCTAGGAGTAAAGTATTCTGTGGCCATGAGCCCATGAGTATCGCAAGTGATGAGCGGAACCGCTTGGATCCCAGTAGACTTGACAGACTATTATTTTTAAAAAGTTTAGATATGAAGCATTGGGAACTTTAAATTTTCTTGTAATAAATACATTATGAAAATAAATGTCTCTTTTCATACCTGATCTGACTTTGATATGGTAATAAAAATAATTGTTATGAGATTATTTATTATGGTATCTTTCTTGTTTTTCATAAAACTGGTTTACATTTATCTACATTATAAAATCGAACTTGCAAAAAAAGAATCGGTTTTTTTTTTCAAGTTCTATTTGTAATTTTTTTTTCGATTGATAAATCAATCTTTTAGACCTCGATTTTTTGTGAATTTATTTAAAAATTTATCTTTCTCGGAAAGAATCGTCATCACTATTGCCAAATACGAAACAAAACATCAAGTCATCAAGGCGATAAGTATAAACTTCTTTGTACACTCTGATCTCTGCCGCCACCACCAATGTGCATCGACCTCCGATATATATAACTTCCGATTAAAATTTAACGGAACCGAAATTGGAATCGAAGGTGCAAAATCAATCGGAAGTTTTGAACTTTCTGAATCGTAATCAAACCTCCGTAACATCTCTAGTACTAACTAATACATATTTTAAGTACTAGTACAGCTGGCGTTGATAATATACCTACTATATAGGACAACAGTCGACAGCTAGTACTAGTACTAGTACAGCAATTCCACAGAGTACTTTTTAAGGAATTCTATATTATTAGATAGGCAATAGGCATATTTTTGAGCTATAGATGAGATGTCTGAAGTTAAAAATGTTTTGGTATTTGCTTTTTGTGTTTGTGAATGCAAATAAGTGATTACTCATGTAAACAATAGAAGCTTTCTTGTCGTAAATACAAAAATTTTTGTTTCTATCAAAATGAACGATTCTGCCATTCAAATCTTAGAGGCAGCGGCACAAATTTTGATGGTAAGATGTTTTATGTACCTGTTACTAATTTACTTAAATTTAAAAATAATAAAATAAAGTCCAAAATTGCACCAATCACATTTTGTTACTTGAATATCTGATACATATTAAAGTTAATGAGGTTAACATTAATGTTAAATTGCTTGTTAAAATATTAGAATTTTATTACACAAAACATCATTATAATATATGTATTCATATTTCATACACATTCGCTTCATTTATTGTTTATTATGACATAAATTAACACTCTAAGTAGCTTACTTGATGAATATAAATATTATTTCTTCTACTCTGCTGACTGGTGTTCCCCATTAAACATTTATTGTCCAAACATGCGAAAAGAAAGTAAATATCCCTCGATCACTGACAGGTGTCAGGTGGGGATCTCACCCATATTGCTTATAGCTTTTATACAACACCCTCATCTATAGCAATTTTGACTATGTAACATTTCTCTTGGAACCATGCAATAAATAAGCACTTAAGCTTTTAGATAAAATCCAAATCAAGTGCTTACAGATTATCTTAGGAGCTAAGAAATCATCTCATTCAAATGCTCTACAAGTTGAATGTAGCGAACCTCCTCTTAACCTGGATATATTTTGCCGATCGTTATATATTTATAATATTTGAACTATCTTCTTATCCACTTCTTTCTAAACTGGATTTATTAAACTCTGGTTTAAGAATAATAACTACTGGACCCATAAAGATGTTACCTTTAAATTTCCCATGTTTCAAAATTTTTATTAACCTTTTGTTCAAATATCTATTTGAAACTATGTTATCATCCTTCAGTTATTTTAGATTTTAGTGTGATTTTACTGTTCCACGCGACTTTGCCCGTGTGTTAGTTGGGGTTTTAATTTTTTTGCACAGCACCCTAATTCTTTTTCTAAAATAAAATTAGCCTAAGTTACTCCTTGTGACATCAGCTATCCGCCAGTGAAAATCCCATCAAAATCAGTCCAGCCGTTTCGGAGATTAGCCGAGACAGACAGACAGACAAAAACTTTCAAAGTTGTATTTTTGTTATTAGTACCGTATATACTTTCATATGCTTTTAGTAAAAAGCTGTAATTTTGACATTACAAATAGACACTTCAATTTTATTTATTTGTATAGATTATGCAAAAAAATGGAGAGGCTCCCTTTCTACTGACGCCTTTAAGCTTTCTGTTAATAGTTTTGTTGGTTCAGCTATCTAGATTCCAAAATATATAATTATTTAAAATTTTGAAAATGCTACTTCAATTTTCACTGGTCAAGCTCTTGCTACTTTGGAAGCAAATGTATTGTTTTTACTAAATTATATAGTTCATTATAAAGTATTTTATCTAACCCATTTTGAAGTAAATTCAAATTCCCATATATTTTTAAAATAAAAGATGCACTATATGGATGTTTTTGTCGAGGTATTAACTTGAAACTCCCTTGGCTGCCAAGTTATAGTGGAATATGTGACAATGAAACTGTTGATTCACTGTAGAGCATCTACTTCTGGTACCATAATGCATTATATAACTCATACTCATGACCTTATTTCTCTTGTGAAAATCTATCAGATGTCAGATTAGAATTCTCTTTGGAAAAAAAAACTCAGAAGTCTATAAGTAAATATTATTCAGAAGTCCAACCTGACATCCCCTCCAAACCATGTTTTTTTTTAAATTCATGAATGGCTCCAAACATAGTACATCTGTTATATGTAGAATTAGATTGGGACATACTTTTTTACCCGTAGTTTTTTCTTTTTTGCAAAACTTAAGATTAAAAATAGCTCAAATTATGAGTGAGGACTACATGAAGGAAAGATAGATCATAAATGTTTTAACTGCTCTAATCTCTCCTTTTCATTATATAATTTTTTCCCTAATAACATCCCCTATCCTATAAATCTTAAATCTTTGTTATATTTTTTTTCACTCCTTTTGTAAAAAACTTTATAGACTTCATATCCATTAAAAGCATTAAGCTATACAACTTTGGCACTTACATTAATTTTATTATACTTACAATAATTTTGTAAAAGTATCTTCTGATAAGAATAGTGTGCCGGACGGGCATAACTCTCCGGAGTAAATGTTGTCGAAGATACTCCGCGAGTCGCTCACGTCCTACACCTATAGGTTCCAGAGGATACTTTCACTGCAGTCTCTGTGTGTGCTGCTGGAAAACTGTGGACTGAGGTTCAAAATTAAAATGCACGATTTATAAATTCAAATAGCAAGGGAGTGGCCAGTGGTTCGACTGATTAATTAGTTGCGAAATTTTATAATTATTATTTATTGACCACGGTTGTTCAACTACGGTTGTTCACTATCGGTTGGTCACTATATATTTCAAAAGATTCAATTAAAATGTGCGGTAGTATTAAAATATCTATTGGTAATATTAAGATATCTATTGGTAGTATCAAAATATCTACTGGTAGTATCAAAATATCTATTGGTAGTAGCTGGTTTTCTAACACTACTGACTAACAGCTATTAATGAACTAAAACTAGTTGATTTTATCACTTGTGTAACTGCGAATATCAGTTACCACTTTTTCCGTCTAGCTAACACTTTTCACTATATGTAACTGCGAATTTTCAGTTACCATTTTTTTCGGCTAGCTAACACTTTTTCACATATGTAACTGCGAATTTTCAGTTACCACTTTTTTCGGCTAGCTCACCCGTGAGGACTAAGATAGAATGCCTCTTTTCCAGTAAAAAGGGTCTCCGGTTCTCTACACTCACCAAACGAAACACAGCAGTGTTAAGCTGCTATTTTACGCTGGTATTCTGTGAGACCATGGTCCTTCCCCGGTCGAGCCGACCCATTCGTGCTACAACCATAATATAGCTGCAGCATGGCTCTATATGTAATATGTTTTTGATTAATTATTTTAGCCAGTTGTGTTACCTAATTTTCATTTGAGGGTAATGTGTACTAACTTTTATATAAGTATTATAAATACCAGTGACACTTTCGAAATAAATTTTTTCTTAACAACAATAAAATAAAGTTCAAGATAATGTTTGTCATAGTCTCTTTTAGATAGATGGACTTTAACAGATTTGCTCTATACAACTTTTAATATACCTTAATTAGCTCCTAAATATTAATATTAGTAATTTGTGCTTTTGTTTAAGGCACCACCAAACCTGGTTACATCAGAACAACGACATCAAGCTGAAAGTGTATTTTTGGAATTTCGTACAACTAAAAATCCTTATGAACTGTGTAGAGACATACTTGAGAAGTCAACCTCAGATTATGTGTTATTTGAGGCAGCAGGTCTGATAAAATCAGGCCTTATTAGAGAATGGAGTTTGTTATCAAAAGAAGATACATGTTCAATAAGGGAGTATTTGCTAAATTATCTATTAAAAAAAGAAAATCCCCCTTTTTTGAAAGAAAGATTATTGCAGGTTTGTTTACATTCTCATACAATATTTTAGTTCATAAGCTTTATTAATAGTACTTGTAAAGAAAGATTAATTACTAAAGCTAGTTTACTCCAAAGGCAAAGTAGACAACTGCCTAAGGGCCTAGCTCCAATCGGCTTACCTGCCTGCTCGAGCCACATTGTTGTCAGATAACTTGGTGATTAGTTTCTACATACTTTGGGGAACTGCAGCCCAAAACAAAATATATATGATTTTATTCAGCATATTAAATCTTTTAAAATCCAACAAACATCACATCTGGTCATTCCAAAGTTAAACATTTACAGAGCAGAATCAGCAAGTATAGTGATTATAATGGAATTATATATTATAATTATGATGATTATATGGAGAGTAAAGTATAAAACTTATATTATACTGCTACCAAGCATGTGGTAAATCAGCACTTATTCTGATTAAAATTTGGATTAATGCAGGCGGGATCTTATTCTCGTTTCTTGTGTCAAATTTATGCAAAAAGCTGAGCTATCTAGGTTCTCTGAATTATAGAGAGTATTACAATTTATTTAAATTGATTGAGCCAGTTGTGTAGAAAAAATTATTGCAATCCTATTTGACTCCTCTAATTTATGTCTATTGCTTATTTTTTTATTATACTGAAACGTCAGGAATATAAAATAAGTTTAACGCTATAAAATCCTTTTAAAACTGCTTAAAATTAAAAAATTGTCAACAAAATACCTTTAAATATAATTTATTTTGTAGTTGGTTGTAACAGCTTTTGTTTATGCGTGTGTAATGTGTACCCTCAATAAATGAAATAAAATAAGTTTGTGCTTTGATTGTTTTTAGACCATCGCCATAATCATAAAAAGAGGTAGTGTTGATGATGGAGGCAGAGAAAGAAAAGCATTATTGGCTGAATTAGAAAAAATAATTTTAAGTTCCCCAATCAGTCAACAGAAACTGGCATGCTCATTGATTTTAGCAATTATGCAAGAATTTGCAATCACTGTCAAATCAGCTGATGTCGGATTAATATGGGAAGTACACTTCCGCTTAAAGAAATCATTTGAAACAATAAATCTGAAACGAATATTTCGATTTACAATTGGAGTACTTGAGCAAATAATTCGTTCTGGTCATCCACCCGAAGGAGAACAAGCTATGCTAATTAAGCAGTTGATAACGATAATTGAAACAATACTATGTTGGAGCCATGTCTCTCCATTACTATCCAAAAGGTTGATTGGTGCTTTTGAAGCAATTTATGAAAGTGAAACTGCACCGGCCTTGCGACTAAGTGTGAATTGGCGTGACACAATTATGAAACCAGAGCTTATAGCATTGTTCTTTGAATTACATATTTATGTACGTTCCAACCCAGACTTGGCGAATCCTTCACTAACATGTCTGGTGCAGTTGGCAAGTTTAAGTGGAGTTGTAGTCTCAGCTAGCAATTTAAAACAGCAGTACTTAGAAAACTATGTTAATTATTTCCTGCGAATGTTGTCTTTCATTCAACCAGTCGAAAGAGAAATGTTGGGAATTGCGGAAATTTATCGAAGGTTAATACAGTTTTTTACTCCCGCTATGATAGCAGCGACCCCACCGGCTTTCCTCCAATATTTGACGACATATACATGCCACTGTATCAGAGGGTCGATTATAGAAGAAGGTGTAAGTATATTTTTATTTTACTTTTAATCTTTTGATTTCATATAATAAAATAATATACAATGTTAGAGTAACAGGATTTCGCAAAAAATAGTAACTTAAGAATTAGTTCGAACTTATTCACTACTAGATAATAAAAACTATTTTGTCGCTAAATGGTAGGCTTGCACTGCATTCCACCAATCTGAAGGGTATAGAGAATCAGTATAATGGCAGGCTGTGAGGCATTACATCTCACTCCTCAGAATAGAATAGAATAGAATAGAATAGAATATTTTTTATTCAATATACATTACATGTGTAATTCTTATTGAAAGTCATTTTTAACTTTACCAGAAGGGACCATGCGTTTGTAGCATCCTTTGCTTGAACTAGATTGGATGCTAGTGTCCACAGGCAGCAGCTGCCACTTGCCTTCTGGTGGATTGTAAGTTCGCTTCAATCATTATACCAGTGTTTATTTATTTTATACGTTACTGGCTGGAACCCGGCGTGTTGCTGCCACATAAGAAATTAATAATTGTGGAAATGTCGTTTTAAATTTGGAAGAGTTATTTGTTTAATTATAGGAATAATAATACATTAATTGAAGTTACTATTAATTAATATAAATAAAATAATAATTAATATAAAATAAATATAAATTAGTAATAAATTAATGGAAGTCGACGGCTCCGTGGTGCAGTGGCTTAGCAATGAGTTGCGGCCCTAAGGGACGCGGGTTCGAATTCCGCACGGAACAAGTATTTGTATGGCCTACAAATAATTGTTCCTTGTCTGGATGTTTATCCTATGTATGTAAACTGCCCTCAGGATACAGGAGAAAACCTTAGTATGTAGATAACGTTTTTTAAAGATAGAAAAAAATAATAATTGAAGTTGAATGATATATAACATTCAAATAAATTTGTCGTTACAATACGCGCGCCACCTACTGTAAGTTAATTGTATTATGCCTATAACTTTCGCGCAAGTGTAAACAAAGTATGGCAGCATATATAATGTTAACAAACAAATATAATTTTTTATATATTAGATTAGGAAGTAACAAAATAAAGTATTGCTCAATACTAAACATTCGTAAAGTAAGTACAGGTTACAGGTGAGTGCAGTAGTACAATGTTAATAAAATACTGGCCACGCAGATGTTGTTCTGCCCTCTTCGACGACCATTTGTCCTATTAAAAATCCTATTCGTAATAAAAATATTAAGGGTCACACACACGGGATAAAAACCATCCCATCTCTCAAGTTGGACGAAAGTGCACACAGTGTGCAAAATTTCATTGAAATCAGTTCGGTGGGTTAGGAGTTCATCGCGGAGAAAGAATGTGACAAGTAATTTTTATATATAAAGATTTTTTTGGTTTTTAAATGTTATGTTACAAAACTTCTACCGTGTCATCCCATGTCAGTTTCTAGATATCCCTACTTCTTAACGCGTGACTTAACTTTTTGGATGGCCTCCAACAATAAACATATTAAATTTCTGTTAAAACTTATACATAAAATCATTTTTATTCTTTTATTTTATTATTCTAACATTTTAATTCATTAACTTTAAGATAAATGAAGATACATTATTACGAGAGGCTTTGAACAAGTTTCTACATAGCTGGAGTTCTCTAGTGCACGATTCAGATGGATACTCAAATGAAACATTGCAAAATCCATGTATAGAAGTATTTAATACCTACCTACAATGTAGATTAGCTCCACCAGATGGCACAAGGTTAGTTTTTACCTTCTAATAAAATTAAAACATGAGTGAGTGTTGTGGAACACTCGGTTGGAACGAAGTGCCTTATAATTTTTACGTGGTAGAACCATTCTGCAGGTATGTTATGGTTGTGGCACGAATCGGTCGGTTCGATCGGGGAAGGACCACGCTGTCACAGAATACCAGCGTAAAATAGCAGCTTAACGCTGCTGTATGGTGAGTGTAGAGATCCGGAGACCCTTTTTACTGGAGACGAGGCATTCCATCTTAGTCCTCATGGATGACAACGCATCTGCATTTTGATTCGTAATCGAAGATCACCAAGTGTACCATCAGGTGGACTGTGTGCTCGATTATCACCCTTATCCTAAAAAAAATATTGATAAACGTATTATATTATTGATTAACAAATAAAAATAAATGTATTACTAGCGTCTATTAAAATTAAGCGTCCTTTAAAATAAAATATACTACGTGTTCGACACACGTAGTGTATTTTATTAAAATAAAATCTTACACTTTTTGTCGCCTAGCTCCCATCCGCCAAACCCGTACTGTCCGATAAGGAACTTCGTTCCAATAAAAAATTTTATGTAGAAAATAATTATAACTGATCCCCAGCATAAGCAGCTGCGAAGCTAAGTCACTGACCTCCGGGTTACGTTAGTTAATGATTATAACTGTTAGAAACAGTAAGTTTTAGTATTTATACATTGACGCCAATGACGAGGATGCTCTTTTCATGTTTCGGCTACCAAGTGACGAATTTCATATCGTCACAAAACCTTAAATACATCTATTTCATAACGCGACTGTCCAATTTTTTTTTATATATTTCACATCGTCTCTTTAGAATACCTTAATAGCACAGGAACTTATTGGAAATAAAATTTATCATAGAAGACTACTCTTATGGAATGTTTCTGTGAAACTAAATTGTTTGTTTGTATTAGATTGAGTTTTATTCTTTACTAGCTGACCCGGCGAACTTTGTACCGCGTAACAGTCGATTCTTTAATTTTTTATTTTTTTATACTTATTCTGCTATTCGGGATACCGGGTCAGCTAGTAAGATAAAAAAGGAAAAAGAAAGTTGATAAGTCAACAATTATATTATGTCAAAAAATAAAAATCATAAAACACTATTGACAAATATTGACATTAATATTTATACGATACTAACGTAACTCAATTGTTTTGCCTTCCCGGAACCCCTCCACTAACACTTAAACTTTATGGTATGGTATTAAAGTTCAAATTGACTTTTAAGTATTATTACGAATCTTTTGTATGGGAATATAGTAAAGTGTTGTTGCAATTTTTTAAAAATTTCTCACCGTAAAATCCATCTTTATACTTCAAGGAATATTATAAAAAAAGAATTAGCGAAATCGGTTCAGCTGCTCTCGAGATTTGCGCTTAGCAACACATTCAGCGATTCATTTTTATATTATAGATATGACGCCCTGCTCACTACAAGCTTCCCATTACGGCTTTGAATTTATTTCAAATAACAATTGTTAAGATGGTTATTGCGCTATTTATCGAAAACCTTAATTTTTTTTGTCATTTCTCTTAATGTAATAATGTATTATTCACAGAAGAAATAACGGTGAAGAGTTTATTTCGTTGCTACCTCACAAAGAATGATCTGTTTATTTGAAACAAGACAGCATGTGCTTTTTCACTGGCTCGCGTAAAAGGTCACAACAGGATTAGTCTAAATCATCGTGTTTGGCGGGTTGATTAATTATCGCAGTATGCATAAGTCGCAGCACGTAAGTCTAGCGGTGACCGTTATTGCGCATAATTGGAAAATATGGTATCATGGGGTAGTAAGCGGGTCGCGGGGCGGGCGTGTGTATCGTTCGCACGCGCTGATTGGCTCTCCAGTCGCATTCCGTCACCCGTACTGATGCGATATGAGCAGCTATCCCCTCCGCGTTTCGTTCAGCACTAGACTTGACTTGTACCAAACATTTCACAGGACCCACTGTTAGGAGTAGCGCTTATCATGAAAACTTATTAATAGTTGTAGATCGTGATAAAACTAACAAAAAAGCAAATGTGAACTCTTAAACGGTGGGAGAAAAAAGATATTTCAAAATAGCAAATAACCTAAAAGTAGAAAATAACCTAAAATTATTATTCAAAAAATACCTGTTATCGAGTAGGTGTTAGATGCTCCATTGTAGCTGAATATTATTTGTATTAATTAGTACATAGTATAGGCATAGCCTAAGAAGAACATACAGTCAGTCACCGCTTTTGATGTTCTCGGAAAAGCCGAGTGTTCTAAATTAATGGACAAAAGGGTTAGAAGGGATAAAGGCAGTTATGTTTGCTGGTTTAAGTGTATAATAAAAATTATATTTTGACGGCTCCGTGGCTTAACAATGAGTTGCAGCGCTAAGGGCCGCGGGTTCGAATCCCGCACGGAACAAGTATTTGTACGGCCTACAAATAATTGTTACGGGTCGGGATGTTTATCCTTGTGCAATTTATGTTTGTAAACTACCTCCACGATACAGGAGAAAATCCTAGTGTGGTGTTAAAAAAAAATTATATATTTATTAATTAATTTTCATATGTTCATTTTAATATATTATTAAATAAAATCAAACATAACATAACATGGCATGCATGAGACTTTTATTTTGTCAAGAAATCTGTAATAAGGTCCTTGTCCGTCATTTTACGACGACAATCGTTTTCACAAAACCGTGCGTGTAAATTATGTATGAAGCGCACAGACTTGAACGCATGACAGGTATGAGCGGATGCGCGAGCGGGCGGCACGCGCGTGCGTTCTCGCCTTTCTTTTCTATCTTTACATGCCCCGTTTCATGCGTTAAAGAGCGTATGTGTAAAGGCGGCTATTGTCCTTTGTCTGTTTGATTCTTACTGTAATAAAATGTAAAATTTTAAAGGGGATTAGAAGTAAAGGATGGATGTGGCGAAGACATCAAGGAAGATATAGAGGAGGACGAGCGGCAGTTGTACAGCGACGTGCTGATGACGATCGGCGCGATGGGCAGGAAGGCACCCGTTCACTGCTGTCACGTGCTCTTCACACTGCTGCAGGATAGGAGCAAGAGGTAATCATCATTGGTGAGCTAAGAGGATTCGAGTTATTAAGACGTTCATCCCACCCCAAAATTCTGTATTAAGCTTTAGGTGGAATAAACTAAAAACTAACCTCCCTTACCATTGCAAAAACAGGTATTCGCTCTGAGATTCACATGTGGGCTTTGCGTTGACAGAGGAGAACTATGAGGGACGTATTCTCCCCCACTCTTAGTAATATTAGGTATGCATAAAATTAAAATTACATTACGTTATTTAAAATGAAGCAATTATAAAAAATTAGAAAAAGAAATAGGGTTCCGCATAAAAAAATAAAAACCCTAACACGAGAGCGAAGTCGCGGGGAACAGCTAGTATAATCTATATTATATTTGCAAAATAATTAGGAAATGTGTAACTTAACAGGTGGACGTGAATAAAAAGTATGATGTGAGAGTGAGGGTGATGAAAGTGTCATCAAGTAGACGAATTTTTTTTGTGTAAATACTTCCGCGCGCCTTTTTTTATCCTTGTGCACCTAGACACGTACCTAGTTTGCTGTAAGGATCCGCCACCGACGGCCTAGTAATCTTCTATATATATAATATAACTATTTTGTGCGCGAGTTTGTCACTTAAGTCCTCCTGCTGAACCGATTTAATAAATTTTTTGTGTTTGAGTGGGTCTCTTGATGGTTTAGATTTACAATTAGACTCGGTAGTAGGCGCTGTGGTCGTGATCCGGTGTGGGAGGATCGCTAGTATACTATGTAATACTATTTGTTATATTTTTTTGTGTAGATTAGAAAGTCAACTGCATTTGTTGCACTTGGGCAAGTTACCAGTGAATGGCGGCGAGCAACTTGTCACACTGTTCGAAGATTTGCATTGGATTCTAATGATCATTGGTATGCATCGTATTGTATGTTAATCATTGTATTGTATTGTTTCAAATTGTATTAATTTCAATCCAATAGGTTTAAATTAATACACTTTGTGACTGAGATGTCGATATTATACTATTTCATAATTATAATTTATATGCAGTTAATATATAAAGTGATGGTATATATAGTGACCAAGAGATAAATGAGGGTAATACGTACAATGTCCAAGCAACATTAACAACAAGTCCTATTGAGTCAGGTCATTAATAACTATTCAAACTTCATCATTTATCACAGTGACTATTGATTAAGAATATTGATATGTACAAATTATCAACCAACCATTTTGCAGGATGTGGGAATAAAGAAGTAATACATCTAGGTTGGGCTCGATTGGGGGTGTAATTCAAATAATTTTTATATCATTGAAATATCTACGGATTTAAGACGGCCTTTGAGCCACCTCAGCCACACCTTATTCCTACTGTTGCTAAAATTACTTGATAGGTGTTTCTGTATTTTTGGCAAACTTAAACAAAACTAAAACTGAACTCAAAGTTGTCTTTCTAGATATTAATACGTGAAGCGAAGGGAAACCTTTGCCTTTAAGGTTGTTAAAAAATCGATCAGTTAAGGTCCGCGTAGTAAAATAAAATGATGTGTCTCACACCCTCTTTAAGCATATTGCGCGCACGGAGGAGTGTGAGATTTGGATTAGTTAAAGTTTACTTAGAGAAGGAGTGCAGAAAATTAAAATTTATTCTATTGTCACATATTTTCCTTATTTATCATGGCATAGATATATGTATATAATATTATGTATATATTTATATATTTAATTGTGAAAAGTCAGAATGTGTCCAAAAAGGTACGTATGGCAATTCACAATGCTGTGTTAGTACCTACTTTAATGTATGGTAGTGAAAGTTGGCTGTGGCAGAAGAAGCATGAGAGTAGAATAAATGCTGTAGAAATGCGGTCATTAAGGAGTATGTTAGGGATGAAGCTGAATGATATATATATAATAAGAGATAATAATAATAAGAGAAGAGTGTGGTTTGCAAGATGATGTTGTGACCAGGATTAAGAAAGGAATGCTTCGGTGGTTTGGCCATGTAGAAAGAATGAATGAGGAAAGAGTGACAAAGCAAATCTATGTTGCAGAGGTGAACGGCATAGTCGGGAAGGGTCGCCCTAGGCGAAAGTTTATCGACCAAATTGGCGATATATTAAAAATGGGCCATATCAAGAGTACCTTTAACCGACGAGCGTGTATGCGTAGGTATATGGATGTGGAGGAAGCGAGAGAGGTGTGTCAGGATCGTGCCAAATGGAAGTCCATAATCTCTGCCTACCCCTTGTAGTGTTATACTACTTACGTATCTTTTTACATTATTTTAAATTCATTTTTCCATTCTGTTTCGATTTTCTGCATTCACCTCAAAACTGGATATTTTACATCACCTTTATTTCCATAGGATCCTGTAACGATTTTAAACCATAAGAACACAATAACAAATCATTTCTACTTCGTATTTTCACATTATCAGCACTTTTAAATTGGTGTCAATGGAGTCTACCTTTTTTCGATCTTTTAGCTAGTTTTCCGTAACTCTACAATCTTGGACTTTGTGTGGGCAGTTGCGCTACCTTTTTTCCTATATCAATAATATCTCATTTTCCACTTAAATCTTACCGTTTTCTTATTATAAACCAAAAACAAAAATTTGACATATTTTGTCTTTCTTATTTATATCGTTTCCATGGTAATTATATTCAAATTTGCTACCGATCTATTATTCCTATTTCGATAATTCCACATAAATCCTCTTTTCTCTTGATCATTTACAAAAAATTTGCGTTTAATTTAAATAATTTTTCCGTTCTCTCTAGAAAGGTATAAAAGCCGAACAATCGGTGAAGAAAGGCAGTCTCGCTTCAGTTCGCGAATTGGAAGTATCTCCTAAAGGCCTTATCCCGGGGCCGCACTGCCCCGGGATCCTGCAAGCCTCCATTTACAAGTGAAGTCTTCGGCGAAGCTTTCTTCAAACTCGGACCGCGCCACTCCGGTATCCTACAAGCCTCCATCTACCTCGGAAGTCGCTTCGAGTCTACTACAAGCGCGGGGGCCACACTACTCCGGGCACTACTACTACTTACTCCAGGCGCCGAGTGCACCTACCGCCGGCGCTACCTTTGGGCGCTGCAACTGCTGGCTCTAAGCGTTGCGCGCCCCTTCTCCAGGCGCTACGTGCGCCGGCTCCGGACGCTGCGTGAACTGGCTCCAGGCGCTGCGCGCCGTCGCTGCTAAGAAACCTACTTCTACAAGCGCAAACGGCGTGTGCTGGCTTCAGGCGCTGCGTGCCGTCGCTGCTAAGAAACCTACTTCTACAAACGCAACGTGTGTCGCTTCGACTTTTAGGCCCCACTTCAACGCTATATTCCCCTATTCTCTCACCTTTATTTTTTTTATAATCTAATTGTATTCTCACTTCATTCATCATCATCCTCACATCATTTTTTTTATAAAATTGTAAATACCTTTTATAAATTTAAATATATTGTTTTCTGGCTCTACTTTTGTTGTTTTGTTGTACTTAGGTTAGGTTCTATTTTTTTTTAATTGTCGCTTCACGACATTTGGCGCCCAACGTAAAAGTCCTCTTTCTCTCTTAATTCTTCACCTTTACTGCGCCTTGTCCATTCCCTTTTGATTTAATTGCTCTTCCTTTCGTTCTTAACTCATTATTCATCATTCATTTATTCATCCTTTTCATACCTTCCAAATTCTAAAACAACACTTCATCTAGTGTTTCAACGTATCTGGCTTATATTTAGACCTACATTTAACACTACACTTACATTCATCACTTTAATATTTTTATTGTAGATAACTTTCCAAATTCTAAAACAACACTTCATCTAGTGTTTCAACTTATCTAGACTATATTTAGACCTACATTCAACACTTCACTTACATTCATCACTCTAATATTTTTATTCTAGGTAACTTAAAGAGGTATAACTTTTCAATTAAATCTTTATTTCTTAAACTTAACTTTGAACGTTACACTTTATATAAAATTGTTTTTCAAAGTTGAAGCGAGACGATTCATAACTTTTCTAAGCATTTACTCTGTTAATTTGTATATATGTATAAATATCTAAACATTTATTAACTGCTAATTTGTATATATGTATAAATATCACATTTAATTTGTATATATGTATAAATATCACCATCATTTTCACCTTGTTATTATTTCTTTTAATTTGTTTGTTTGTTTGTTTGGTAGGTTAATCTTCACTTCTTATTATTTCAGACACATCTCGCTAGTGATGTTGCTGATCTCTGGTTTTGAGCCCTACCGCTCTGGCCGTTCTTTATCTTTACTTAAGTCATAGCGACTAAAGCTTGCTTAAGATTGATTTCTTTATCTTTATCTTCACGCAGGAGCGGATGACAACTCCTTAAATAAGCCTGAATGTCCTTTCGAAAACACACTTTTAAGAGTGGTGTTTCTTCGACTAATTTATTTTTTTTTCCACGCAGGAGCGGATGACTACTCCTTAAATAAGCCTTAATGTCGTTTCGAAAACACACTTTTAGAGTGGTAGTCATTGAATTTGAACTCCACCCTTACCTGAATGGCAGATGATGTATGTAAGAGATAGTATATCTGATTTTGCCTGGTGATGTCTGTTTCTGCAAAGCTGTGTTTTATGGTTTATTTTAGAATGTATATATCAAAATTTTTGCTGAGTCAAAAATTTTCCAGGGTCGGGGGGAAAATGTAGTGTTATACTACTTACGTATCTTTTTACATTATTTTAAATTCATTTTTCCATTCTGTTTCGATTTTCTGCATTCACCTCAAAACTGGATATTTTACATCACCTTTATTTCCATAGGATCCTGTAACGATTTTAAACCATAAGAACACAATAACAAATCATTTCTACTTCGTATTTTCACATTATCAGCACTTTTAAATTGGTGTCAATGGAGTCTACCTTTTTTCGATCTTTTAGCTAGTTTTCCGTAACTCTACAATCTTGGACTTTGTGTGGGCAGTTGCGCTACCTTTTTTCCTATATCAATAATATCTCATTTTCCACTTAAATCTTACCGTTTTCTTATTATAAACCAAAAACAAAAATTTGACATATTTTGTCTTTCTTATTTATATCGTTTCCATGGTAATTATATTCAAATTTGCTACCGATCTATTATTCCTATTTCGATAATTCCACATAAATCCTCTTTTCTCTTGATCATTTACAAAAAATTTGCGTTTAATTTAAATAATTTTTCCGTTCTCTCTAGAAAGGTATAAAAGCCGAACAATCGGTGAAGAAAGGCAGTCTCGCTTCAGTTCGCGAATTGGAAGTATCTCCTAAAGGCCTTATCCCGGGGCCGCACTGCCCCGGGATCCTGCAAGCCTCCATTTACAAGTGAAGTCTTCGGCGAAGCTTTCTTCAAACTCGGACCGCGCCACTCCGGTATCCTACAAGCCTCCATCTACCTCGGAAGTCGCTTCGAGTCTACTACAAGCGCGGGGGCCACACTACTCCGGGCACTACTACTACTTACTCCAGGCGCCGAGTGCACCTACCGCCGGCGCTACCTTTGGGCGCTGCAACTGCTGGCTCTAAGCGTTGCGCGCCCCTTCTCCAGGCGCTACGTGCGCCGGCTCCGGACGCTGCGTGAACTGGCTCCAGGCGCTGCGCGCCGTCGCTGCTAAGAAACCTACTTCTACAAGCGCAAACGGCGTGTGCTGGCTTCAGGCGCTGCGTGCCGTCGCTGCTAAGAAACCTACTTCTACAAACGCAACGTGTGTCGCTTCGACTTTTAGGCCCCACTTCAACGCTATATTCCCCTATTCTCTCACCTTTATTTTTTTTATAATCTAATTGTATTCTCACTTCATTCATCATCATCCTCACATCATTTTTTTTATAAAATTGTAAATACCTTTTATAAATTTAAATATATTGTTTTCTGGCTCTACTTTTGTTGT